TTTTTTTTTTGTACTGGGAATCAAACTCAGAACCTTGTGCTTACCAGACAGGCACTGTGCCACTGAGCTAAATTCCACGCCCCTCTTTATATATTCTAGACATCAATCCTCTGTCAAAAGAGTAGCTGGCAAAGATTTCCTCCCAGCTAGGCATGATGGTGCACACCTGTAATCCTAGCACTCAGGAGGCTGAGGCAGGAGGATCACTGCAAGTTGGAAGCCAGCCTGGGCTACATAGTGAGTTCACAGCCAGCCTGCGCTACATAGCAAAACCCTGTCACAAAAAAAAAAGGAAGTCCTGGAAATCTTTATCGATGCCTATGACCTTAGGTGTTTTTCCAATCTTTTCTCTTAGTTTCCAAGTCTCAGGTCCCATACCTGGGTCTTTGATCCATTTTAAATTGACTTTTACACAGGGTGATAGATAGGGACCTAGTTTCCCTCTTCTGCAAGTGGATCTCCAGTTTTCCTGGCACCCTTTGTCAGAGAGGCTGTCTTTTCTCCAGGGACTATACTTGACTCCAGTCCCTGGAATGAGATAGACGCCTCGGCTGCGCGGGTTTGCGGTGCCTTCCGTCCGGCCCCACCCTCTGTGTGACGATTTTTGTGCTGCTGCCCCGCTGCTTTTGTTACTATGGCTTTGGAGTAGAATTTGAGGTTGAATATTGTCACTGCCACTGAAAACCCACAGCCCAGTGTAGGGCCCCCCAGAGGTACAGCGATCCCTGGCTTCCCGCCTGGCTTGGACCTCGAGGCTCAGCCTGCTGTCCCCATCTGAGAGATGCTACCTTCCCACTTTGCTCACCTCTGCCCTCAACCATGCTCATGGGGCACATCCAGGGGCAAACCAACCTCCCCACCTTGCTCTGCACGTCCTAGGATGCCCAGAATCTGGCCAGGCGGGGACTGCAGCGTCCTCCACACTGGACACCTCTAAGGGGCCGCTGGGAGACATGGTCTGCACAAAGCTGCCACCCAAGCGCAGCTAGGTCCTTGAGGTGCAGAACAGCAGTGCCCCTCAGGGAGAAAGTCACTGTGTAACCAGGCCCACGGGTGAGAGGTTTGCAGTCTACTCTATTTTCATGTTTGTTCACTTGTTTGTCTTTTTGAGACAGGGTCTCGCTGTGCAGTTCAGGCTGGTCTGGAGCTCACTTTGTAGCCCAGGCAAGTCTCTCAGGCTCCCAAGATCCTCCTGCCTCAGCCTCCCGAGTGCTGGGATTACAA